CGGCTCGATGATTAAGTGAGGGAGAGTTAGCTCGCAAAATATGGTGATATAAGGTGATTTTTATGTACTTAAGCATGATTTTTTTGCTTCAAACATTTTCAATGGGGTGGAGGATGACTAGTGGGGGTGGGGGTCCCTTAGATATGCCACTGTGTTTAAATGACCTTTCTTAGGACATCTGATCTTTGTTTTGCTACTTAAGGTGATACCAATCAACATTGAAATGATCTGACATCCAGATTTATTGAATTTGTCTGATGTGGGTTATTTCCGGGAGATTCTAGTCCGGTTGCGGGAGTACAAATTTTTGTGAAGACCATTTACATGATGGTCAGTATTTGAATGGTCAAGTGGGCTGGATTAACCATTATTGTCCAGCCATGATGAATAAATATTCCACCCTCTTAAAATTTGCATTAAAGATGTTCTGTCTCAATGTCTTTTAACATGGATTGACTCAAACAATCAATTGCATACAATGTTCATATCATTTCAACATACAGAAGCATTTAATTTGGAATCCTGTAGCGTAAATACAGATACAAAGGGTTGCTTTGCTATTAAGTGTATACATGGCAGTGTGTGTAAACAACACTAACAGCACCACGTTTACATACGCTCACCTGCACCTATGCGCTTTGGTGTATGTGCCCGATGACTACTTTATTCATGCTTATAACAGTAATATATAAAAACAAAGAAATGTACAATACTACAGTACACACAAAACTGTGACAATGGAATTATTTTATATCCCCAGGTTTGATTTCGCTCGCTGGTGTCCAGCCAGGGCTGTGGAGTGTGTTTGGCGGCAATAAACTCGTTTGTGAAAAGTTACTCAACTCTTCAAAAGCAACGTGGGTGAACGAAGCAGTCGTGAAGGTTGAAGGCGCTGAAAATGGTTCCTACACTTTATATTGGGAGGATGAAACATCTGATGGAGAATTAAAATCAAAAACTTTTGATATAGTAATTGTTGCAACCCCTCTCCATGATAAAGTGTCAAATATCAGTTTTGAGGGAATTTCTCCAGATATTCATAATTTCCATGGTGAATATCAACGGACTGTCGCTACTTTTATTAGGGGAACACCAAATTCAACCTACTTCGGTAAATCTACAGGAGGTCTACCTGATCAGGTGTTAACCACTCAGGATGGTAATATCCCCATAAGAACTCTAGCACTTAAAATTCCAGTTGATTTTGCATCGGGGTCAAATGAAGATATCCCAAATGTGTATAAAATGTTCTCAGAGCGCCCTCTATCAGGAAATGAAATTGATGTGTTATTTTTGAATAGAAGTGAAGTTAAAGTCATTGACTGGCGGGCGTACCCAAACTACTCAACCAATCAGAAACTTCCTCCATACCAATTAAATGAGAAGCTTTACTACACTAGTGGATTAGAATGGGGAGCTAGTGCTATGGAGGTCGGGGCAATTTCTGCAAAAAATGTTGCTTTATTAGCATTTCAAAACTGGAAAAATAATTCGAAAATGATTGATAGTTATGATAATACAACCTCTAGGGATGAATTGTAAATATATCAGATGATTGTAATTTTTCGGAATATAATTTTTACCAATTACTAAATTTATGGGTTATTTTTAATTAGTTTCTAATTAAAAAATTAATTATTTATTTTTTTGTCCAACTTTAAAATTTTAAATAATTGAAGAAGCAAAGATATTAATCTTATGATCAATGGATTGTCATATGTTCTCATACATGATATGGCTAAAACATGATTGTAATAATCATTTCATTAAATCTCTTTTATTCCTATGAATGCCATCGCAGTCCAATGTCTGCTTCAACAATCATAAGAAGACGAAGAAAAAAAAAATACAATTAAAGCTAATTCTATTATAATTACTATGCATCATGGGGTAGTTACATTACTCTACTACCTTCCACTAGGGTCCTAATGGCCCCAGTAGGGTGTCTAGGAATCTTGAAATGGGGGAATGATGGAGTGCGAAGGTGGAGTGGGGGTGGGGATGATGTGAGTGGTCACAAAATAATGTGATATGAGGTGTTTTTTTATCTGCTTGACCTTGATTTTTTTGCTTAGGACATTTTCAGTAGTTGGGGTGGGGCAACAGGGTATGTGCGACCCACTGAGCATCCTCTAGATATGCCAGTGAACGGACCGCATAAACCTCTCCTAACTAAACTGTGCATCCTGGGGTGGTAACGTTACTCCACTAAGGTCTTATGAACAGTATATCCCTCCTAACCGAACTATGCAGCATTATGGGGTAAGTTCCTAATGACTTGCCTACTCCCTTTGTAACCATAATTATCATTCAGTGGCGTCGAGAGCCAGTAAGGGCCCCGGGGCAAAACCTCACATGGGGCCTCCCCTTCACTTGGAACCCCCATTCGGCCGCTCCCCAAATTAAGTCGTCTCCTAAATCTGACAACAAAAGTTTTCATCCTGGCTTGGGCTCGGGCCCTATGGAGATTTTGTTCTTACCCCGAAAATTGTTCATCTTTGCCCGGGCCCCCAGTAGACCCGGGGCAGCGACCCCCCCCCCCCCCCCCCCCCATGCCACTGTTATCATTCATTGAAGCATTGTGCAATATGAAAATGCCTCTTGTGTTAAGTAGTTTTCGCCTTCAACTGTATGGAGGTTTTGCTGCAGTAAAGAAGTACACATGATCGTGACTATTATTATGTATTTACTTATATAATACTAATCCTGTGTAATTCAGTTATCTGTTTATGTTTTATTATGTATTACAAACAATAAAGTTTATTTGAATCTTGATTTTTATGTTTCATTTATCTGTGGGGTGTTATTTTTATAAAATTAAGGGAAAAAAACCAATTTCTCAACTTGATGGCGAATTTTTTGGCGATTTTGACTTCGACAATTATTTTCAGCAGGTAGACTATTCCTGTAAAATATTGATAAAGTTGAACTTGCCTAAGTGGAATCCAAAATGGCATTGAAAAATTGTTTGACTTAGATGAAATTCGACTTACAGATCGTAAATTAATGGAAAACAACAATTTGGCATGTAAAACAAGTTTGACTTCTTTATTATGCGAGTTATCCAGTCCCCTCCAAAAAAATCACAGCAAGTAGTTAAAAATCACCTAAAATCTACTTATTTTGCGAGTTAGCGCCCCTCAACTGATCATCGAGCCCCAACCCCCTCTCACCTTCGGACCCCTATCAGCACCCCAATTTCAAGACTTCGAGATACGCCACTGCTGTTGGATGTGGAGGAAATAATAATATTTATTTATTTTTCTCTATTTACAAACATATTTTACTTGAATAACATTTTCATAACAATTATGTTCTACAAATGGTCCATGAAATATATATGAATCTAACAATTATAAATAAAAGAAAGAAATATTTTGTATATATTTTTATAATATTTAAATGAATTTATGCTATTTTTAAATACATAATAATTAAATTTGATTATACAGTACATAGAAAAATATAATTATTTTACCTAAAGAATGGTTCCACTGTCAGAGTGGAACGACGCTGTTTAGTGCCCTCCCCATTTCAGATGGTGGTACCGGCGCCCGCACCC